AAGAAAACAATGGTGGGTTTTAATGTAACTTTATTCTTTCATGAGTTATTTACAAGTTTCTGACCACAAGTGTTCAATGTGCTGCCCATTGTGTTGGATTGTCAATGCAACCCTCTTCTCCTACTCTTCACACTGATAGCAACACTGCAGGAGAAAGCACGGGCTTCCAGTATCCGTAGTTTCAGGTGCTGCACATCTTGTAGTCATGTTTAAACTAAGCACACCACTGTTTTTCTTGTTTTGATGCGTTACATGACACTCTTCCAATTGATAAAACAAAAGTTAGATCCAAGATGGCCAACTTCAAAACGTCCCCCATGGTCACCACCCATCTTGAAAACTTTCCCCCCACCCATAAACTAATGTGCCACTAACAGGACGTTAATATCATCAACCATTCCCATTTTATAATTATGTATCCAAATAAATGGCCCACCCTGTACATTCCAAAGTGATAAAAAGATTATTTCACATACACCATTGGCAGATAATCTCTTAAAACAAGCAAAAAGCTCTTTATTTTTCTTCTGACAGTGAAAACTAAACAATATTTTTACTTGTTCTAAGAATTTTTTTTAGATATTTAGAAAAGAAACAAAACAAAAAAAAGTAAGAAAAGCTTTTTTTTGCTTGTTGATTATTCAATTTATGTACCCGAATACTGTTCAACTCCACTGAAAACTGTCAAATGGAGCTATTCTAACCATCATCTGAAACTTAATTTTGCAGAAAAGTAAAATATCACAATATCAGATTTTTTAAAATATCGTGCAGCACTAATATGCATCCATCTGTGCCTGAAAGTGTGTTTTAAATTCTGTGAATAGCCACTAATGGTCTGAAGTGTGTTCTGTGTTAATAGTTCAGGCTCATTAGTTTTATATTCTTCCTTCTGGGCTCTTCAGAAACTCATTTCTATGCAGATGTGTGGGACATGTTGTGTGGCATGAGATGAACAAACATTTAAGATGCATAAACACGTGGCAAACCCATCTAAAAGCAAACGATTGTACCTTTTAGTTTTTTTTCTCTCTCAAAGTACAGCTCAGGTAATCGTACTTAATGACCGGTGAGGCCATATTAACAAAGCTACAGCTACTTTCACTGAATAAGTATGTGTGCCAGGGGTATTTTGGCTTCCTTTTATCTGTCTATGGCATTTCTTCTTCAACAATCTCATTCTTTTCATTCTTTTTATTCCAGACGTGATGCGTCTCATATTCCATCCAAGATATTCCAAAGATTTAAGGCCAATTCAAATCCAGTGACTCAGAGTTCCAAATTCTCAAACACCTACAGTCCAGTGTGAAACATATCCGTAAATTAGCAGTTTTCTGTATTTTGTGATTTTTATTTTTATTTTCTCTCATTTATTTATGCTTTTTAATTTCCCTACGAGATCTTGATATTTCTTGCAATAACTTTTAAGCAAAAAAAGGTGACTTTTATGATCATTTGTAATAGTTTACAGTGATAAATTATCTGCATTGGTGTTGTATATTACACTACAAAAACCTTGTAATAAACTGCCAACACATCTGTTATTTTACAAACCTATTTCTCTGTATATTTTTTCTTAAACATGATTTCAAACTATTAAAAAAGTGACTTTATTAAACTGTAGAGTTGAATTTACAACATCAAAAGTTGACAGAGCAGAGATCAACATCCCATAATGTAATTCACTACCATAAATAAACGGAAAACACTTGTGAAACCCAAAATATGGAAACTATGAACAGATATCACTCATCAAAAATGATTTTCTCAAAATCAAAATTTCTTGTTTGATGCTGCTTGTAAATTTTTATTTTTATATATTTTTTTGGTTATTTGACATTCATTAATTTATTTTCTTTTCAGCTTAGTCCCTTTATTCATCAGGGGTCACCACAGCGGAATAAACCGCCAACTATTCCAGTATATGTTTTACACTTCCAGCTGCAACCCATCACTGCAAAGGTTATTTGACCTCAACTCAAAATCAAATCAAATCACTTTTATTGTCACATCATCAGCGGCACGTGTGCTATGATGAGTTAAAGCTTAGGTGCTGACTCCAGACATTAAAAAATATAGATAGTGCAAATACAGACAGTGCAAATACAACGACAATGTAAAATTGACAGCGATTTTTACAATGAATAGATGTCCACATAGTTGTAGGCAGTATTGTTTCAAGTATGGATTGGTTAAAGTGCAGTGCATGCTACATATTGATGGTGTGCAGTGAGGGGTATGGAAGAGTCTGTGTGTGGTGTGTTAAGTGTTCATCAGCCTGATAGTCTGAGGGAAGAAACTTTCCTTCAGTCGGCTGGTGCGTGACCGGATGCAGCCGAACCATCTGCCTGAGGGTAGCAGAGAGAAAAATCTATGGCTTGGGTGGCTGGTGTCATTGACAATTCTCTTGGCTTTCCTCATGCACCGCCTGGTGTAGATGTCCTGGTGATGTCCTAGATGACCTCTATATTTACTTTAACTTTTCATGGTTAATTTAGCGTGTTACCTCCCTATTTATAATTATTTGTGAAATATGCAAGCAGCTTCTAACTAAAAATGTACTTTTGTTTGGATAGCTAAAGTTGAAGGCAAAATTACTAGTCCTCGTGAAGTTTTAATTCTTTTTCAAATATTTCCTAAATGATGTTTGAGAGGGCAAGGAAATTTTCACCACGTTTCCTATAACATTTTTCTTCTAGGGGAAGTCCTATTTCTTTTAGTTTTGGTGCAATTAAAGCAGTTTTTAAATTATTTTAATTCAATTCACCTTTACTTGCATTTCACTTTTACAATGTAGATTGTGTCAAAGCAGCTTCACATAGAAGTTGAAACAGTGTAGTTCACTTGCCAGTGTTTAAGTCCAGTTCAGTTTAGCTCAGTTCAGTGTGGTTTAATAATCACTACTGAGAGTCCAAACACTGAAGAGCAAATCCATCGATGCGTAGCTCTACAGATCCCAAACCATGGAAGCTATTGGCGACAGCGGCGAGGAAAAAAACTTTGAGAGAAACCAGGCTCAGCTGGGCACGACCATTTCTCCTATGGCCAAAAGTCTTTTGCAGAACTGGAGTATAGGCACCGGAGGCTGGAAGCTGGACCTCAGCGAAGACTCGTCTGTCCCTGGAGCGTCACAGGAATCAGTCTCATGCTCTTCACTCCTCTATGACCACCACAGCAGCTGCTCAGGATACGGCCTCGTCCAGGATTATGAAACCTTGGGATCATCTCGTTGCTGGTCTTGGATCGAATCAGTGGCGCTGCATAGTCTGAGGGCCTCGGGATGAGACTCCCCAGGTGGAAATAGAGAATAAAGAGAATAATTAGCATAGCTGCTGTACATAGTGTATATAAACGAGATGCAGAAGCCTGCATGGAGCACTTTCATGTATCATACCGCTAAGTGATGCACTGAGTGTATGCTTTACTAAAAAGATAGGTCTTTAAACTATAGTTTTGAATTGGGAGAGTGTGTCTGAGCCTCGAACATTATCAGGAAGGCTATTCCAGAGTTTAGGAGCCATAAATGAGAAGACTTGACCTCTTTTACTCGACTTTGCTATTCTAGGTACTACCAGAAGCCCTGAGTTTTGAGATCTGAAAGAGCGAGTTGGATTGTAGCGAGACAGAAGGTTGGTTAGATAAACAGGAGCTTGATTATTTAAAGCTTAAGGTCAATTATTATTTTAAGGTCAATTATTATTTATCATAGCTAATCTAGAGAATCTTTTTTGTTTGTTTGTTTGTTTGTTTAGCTGAAAACAGGTGACACAGTGGTTCAGTGGTTTGTACTGTTACCTTACAGAAAGAAGGTCGCTGGTTCAAGTCCTGGCTGGGTCAGTTGGCATTTCTGTGTGAAGTTTGCATGTTCTCCCCGTGTTGTGCTCCGGTTTCCCCCACAACCCAAACACATGCGCTATAGGGGAATTGAAGAAACTAAATTGGCCGTAGTGTTTGTGTGTAAAAACGAGAGTGTATGGATGTTTCCCAGTGCTGGATTGCAGCTGGTGGGGCATCCGCTAAAACATATGCAGGATAAGTTGCCGGTTTATTCCGCTGTGGCGACCCCCTGATGAATAAAGGGACTAAATCGAAGGAAAATGAATGAATGAATGTCTAAAAACAAAACATTTTGAATAATCAAAAAATCTGCCATGGTCAATATTATTATCCCTCTTAAATGATTATTAATATTATTTTAAATGGCTTCTGAATAAAAAACTGTTGTCTAATCACCTGCCTAATTAACCTAACTTGCCTAGTTAACCTAATTAGCCTAGTTAAGCTTATCAATTCCACTTGAACTAATATCCTACATTCATTCATTTTCCTTCAGCTTAGTCTCTATTTCAGAGGTTGCCACAGTGGAATGAACCGCCAACTATTCCAGCATTTGTTTTACACAGCGGATGACCTACCAGTCACAACCCAGTTCTGTTCTGGGAAACACCCATACATACTTATTCACTTTCATACACTTTGGACACTTTAGTTTATTTAATTCCCCTATAGCACATGTGTTTGGAATGTGGGGGAAACCGGAGCACCCAGAGGAAACCCACGCCAACACGGGGAGAACATGCAAACTCCACACAGAACCAACTGGCCCAGCCGGGAGCCACCATGTATCTAGTATCTTACAAAATAACTATGTTATGTACTGTCATCATGGCAAAGACAAAAGCATTTAGTTTAAGAAATCAGTTATCAAAAATATGAAATGTGCTGTCTCTCCATTAAACATCACATGGGAAATAATAAAAAAAATAATTAAAATTTTACTGCAGAGCTAATAATATCATATATAACAGTTGACTATCAAAAAATATACACAAGCAATGTTTATTTGTATAGAAGTGTATCCCATTAAAGTGGCAACAATAGATATAGAAGTCCAGTGACGTGAAATGGAAAATGAGTATGAATTAGCATCGGATCAATTCCACAGACAGATCGACTCTCGTCAATCATTCACAAAGGGCGCCAGCAAAACAGGCAGTAATAAAAACACATTCTCTCTGTTATGTGAAGGGAAACCTCCCTATAAAAGCTCCTCCTGGCCGATAAGTAGATGACAAACAGAAACTCAACGCGGAACTGAGCTGTCAGCTGCCATGAACCCACAGCGCCTCTCCTCTCTGCTGCTCTGTGTCGGTGAGTTCGCTTTTCTCCATCCTGATCTGACCCTGTCTGTCTTACATTATTTTTAGCTTGCCAAATTCAGGACTGAACTGAAAAACACGTCAACTGGAAAGAGGATTTTAAAATCCCCATTTAAAAAGTTAGGTTGTGTTTGTGTGTGCAAAACTAAATAGTCTAAACTATTTTGATAGCTTTTTAGACATTTTATTTTACAATATTACATTATTAGCGTGCCAAACTCTCTCCAAATCCTGGAAATCTTGGAGGCTTTTAAAACCACCATTTCCAGCCTTAAAATGTTATGTATGTTTGTGAGTGCAAATCTAAAAATTTTGATTGTTTTTAAAAATACTATTTTTAAGACATTTTATTTTATTCATGTTTCCATTTCGGTCTGACCCTGTCTTACATTATTCTTAGCGCGAACTGGAAAAACCTGGAAATCTTGGATGGTTTTAAAACCATCATTGCCAGCCTTGAGAAAAAAATCATTAGAATTCACGTATTCACGTAATCACGTATTGCTTTGTTTGTGTGTGCAAAAGTTTCTATTCTAAAATATTTTGATTTGTTTTTTAGAAATTTTATTTTATTTTATTTCTCTATCCTGATCTGACCCTGTCTAAAACCATCATTTCCAACCATGAAAAATATTAGATTTTAATTTAGAATTATTTTAAATGTTGTGTTTGTAAATACAAATCTACATATTATAAAATATTATAATTGCGTTTTAAAAATGTGTGTGTGTGTGTGTGTGTGTGTGTGTGTGTGTGTGTGTGTGTGTGTGTGTGTTTGTGTGTGTGTGTATATATATTAAAGACATTGTTATTAGATTGCAAATTCATTAAAACAAATAAAATATGTTTTCTGTATTAATTAAAAATAATACAAACAGAGAGGTGGTCAAAATATTACATAAATAATTAAGATGACAACTTAAAAATCAAAAATGATTGTTGGTAAATGTCAGACAAAACATGCTGTTCTAAAATAATTTGATGGCTTTACATTTATTTATATATATATACATACACACACACACACACACAATTTTATATATATATATATATATATATATATATATATATATATATATATTTTTTTTTTTTTTTTTTTTTTTTTTAAGACTTAGTTATTTGATTGCAAATTCTAGGAAATAATGAAAAATATTTTCACTATTAATGAAAAAACTATTTACAAATCAAAAAGTAGACAAAAATTAAAATAAATTAAAAATACATAAAATGCTGGGTTATTTCAACCTAATTCTGGGAGTGATGTGGAGTAAATCAATTGCTGGGTTAATCTTTTTTTAATTAATTGCATTAGCAATTGAACTCACTGTTTTGGTTAGTCCTTATTTTACTCACTTTGGGTTTGAATAATTCATAATGTCTTAGAGTATAACAACATAAAAGGCAAAATTGGAATAAACATTGTGTCAAGAAGTGAGTGAAAGTACAAAAATAATTCTTAATAAAATTATTTAAAAAAATAACAACATGACTCAAAAAGTGGGTAAAAATAAAAATAAATCCTTTTCAAATGTTTGATGACATTTTTGTTCTAAAATATTTTTTAAATATGAATATTTAAAAAATATGTTCTCTATTAATGAAAAAAAAAACAATATACAAATCAAAAAGTGGAAAATAATAAAATAAATGACAATATACACGAAAGACAAAATACACATAATGCTGGGTTAATTCAACCTAACTCTGGGACTAATGTGGAGTAAACCAATTGCTGGGTTAATTTTTTTTTTAATTATTTTAAAAGTATGTGCAATTTAACTAACTCTTTGGATTAGTCAATATTTTACTCACTTTGGCTTTGAACAATTCATAATTTCGTAGAGTGTAAAAACATAAAAAGCCAAAAAACTTACCATAAGTCAAAAAGTCAAAAACATAACTATAAACATAAATCATAGTTGTCAAATGTTGGTAAATACATGCTTTTTGTTCTAAAATATTCATTGCAAATAAAGCAAGAAAAAAAAGTCAAGAAGTGGGCGAAAATAAATAACAACTCTTAATAAAATTATTTTAAAAACAATTAATAAAAAAATAACACAAAGTGGATAAAAATAAATCCCTGTCAAGTGTTTGATGACATTTTTGTTCTGAAATATTTTGATTGCTTTTTAGAAATTATTCTTCATTTTTATTGCAAATTTGGTGAAATAATTAAAAACAAATCTTCCATTAATGAAACAATAACAACATGAAGTAAAAGTAGACAAAAATATAAATAAATCTCTCTCTATTAAATGAAAAAAGCAAGCAAAAATAAACATAAATCCTTCTCTAGTTATGAATAAATTATCGTCATAAATCATCAGAAAGTGGGCCAAAATAAAAAATAAATCCTTGTTGTCAGATGTTTGAGAATATATGCTTTATTCTAATATATTTTAATAGTTTTTAAGAAATTAATTTGATCTGTAAATCAATTAAAAATAAATCTTTCAAACATAAAAAGTCAAACTGTGGGCAAAAATAACAACATAAAGTAAAAAGTAGTCAAAACATGCAAAAGGCTGACCATAAATTCTGTGCATTTAGTTAATATATTAGTTTTGTTTCGCTGTAAATGAATGTCAGGCGGCATATGATGAATATTAAAGACTGTATGAAGGTAAACATCCTCCAGAACTAGCGTGAACTCTCTGCTTGATTGAAGTGTGGCGATTGTGTTTGCGTCTCCAGACAGGCTGGGCTGTGGGAAACTGCATCAGCTTGTAGTAACATGTCTGAATATCTGTGAGCTTTGGCTTTTCCCTTGTAGGTGTATGTCAGAACACCACACAACTTCAATCTGTTGTCATGTTCAGCGTCATAAAACGCTTATTGTTCACGGCCAAGAAGAGAGGATTAGGGCGTCACACCGCCGTCTTAAACATGTATATTTAGCCTTCTGAAATAACGTTAGAAAGGTCATCCAGGCACACAATAATAGGTGTGTGTGTGTGTGTGTGTATGTGTGTGTGTTTTTAGGAAAGGAATTTCTTTGACAATTCCAGTCAGTAGGAGTGTTCAGATCAAATGCATTTACACAAACATTCTTCGCGCAGACTTGTTTGACTGCAGCAGATGCCTGTGTGCATGTTTAACTGCTACAAATATGTGACCCTGGATGACAAAACCAGTCTTACACTAAAAAATGCCGGGTTCTGCACAATTTCGTCATGAGGTCCACACACAAATCGATTGTTAGCTTAATTGTTTTTACAAATTTAAGTGGATTGAACATAAAACAATTAGGTTGTCAGGCCAAAAACCATTTTAAATGCAGTTGAAGTTGGAATTAATAGCCCCCCTGTTTATTTTTTTCTCCAATTTCTGTTTAATGGAGAGAAGAGATTTCTTCAACACATTTCTAAACGTAATAGTTTTGCCATGATTACAGTAAATACTATTTGACTAGATTTTTTTAAAGACACTTTTAGCTTAAAGTGACATTTAAAGGCTTAACTAGGTTAATTAGGTTAACTAGGTAGGTTAGGGTAATTAGGCAAGTTATTGTATAACGATGGTTTGTTCTGTAGACTATCGAAAAAATATATAGCTTAAAGGGGCTAATAATTTTGACCTTAAAATTGTGTTATAAAAAAATGAAAAACTGCTTTTATTCTAGCCGAAATAAAACAAATAAGACTTTCTCTAGAAGAAAAAATATTATCAGACATACAGTGAAAATTTCCTTGCTCTGTTAAACATCATTTGGGAAATAAAAAAAAAAAAAAAAAAAAATATATATATATATATATATATATATATATATATACAGTTGAAGTCAGAATTATTAGCCCCCCTGAATTATTAGTGCCCCTGTTTATTTTTTTCCCCAATTTCTGTTCTGTTCTGGGAAGATTGTTTCAGCACATTTCTAAGCATAATATTTTTAAAAACTTATTTCTAATAACTGATTTATTTTATCTTTTCCATGATGACAGTAAATAATATTTTACTAGATATTTTTCAAGACACTTCTATTCAGCTTAAAGTGACATTTAAAGGCTTAACTAGGTTAATAAGGTGAACTAGGCAGGTTAGGGTAATTAGGCAAGTTATTGTACAATGATGGTTTGTTTTGTAGGTTATCGAAAAAAAATTAGCTTAAAAGGGCTAATAATTTTGTCCTTAAAATAGTGTTTAAAAAAATTAATAACTGCTTTTGTTCTAGCCCAAATAAAAGAAATAAGACTTACTCCAAAAGAAAAAATATTATCAGACATACTGTGAAAATTTCATTGCTCTGTTAAAAATCATTTGGGAAATATTTTAAAAAGAAAATTAAAATTAAAAGGGGGCTAATAATTCTGACTTCAACTGTATATATATATATATATATATATATATATATATATATATATATATATATATATATATATATATATTAGGGATGTAACGGTATCAGAATTTCACGGTACGGTAATACCTCGGTATGAATGTCACGGTACGGTATTTATTGAATCATTTACAGGAAAAACAAAACTTTTGAAAATACTCCAAAAAAAGTGCCAAAAGTGTCAATGACATACAAATTAGTCATCTATCTGTAAGCTTTGAAACAGGAACTTCAATTTTAATAACAAAAAATTTCAAAGTTTCAATTTAGTATTGTTGAAAACTCATCACATTCAACATTTAATCACTCACTTAGATAGAGATGGGTTTAAAGGAAAATTATCATATAACTATAATCTGGTAAAAGCTGGTATCTCTGGGTATTTACAATGTCCCCTGCAACAGAAAAAAACCCTCTCATTTGGGACTGAGGATTCTGGGACAGAGATATGACTTGGCCCATGTTGACAGCAGTGGGTAACGTTGTGCATTGTCTTTCCCCACTTGAGAAGACAAACCATGAGTGAGATAGAGGTCTCTTTGCGGTACAAGTCAATGTCTGCATCAATCTGAACAGTGTGCTGTGTTTCTGCAGTCCCCATGACTGCTATTAGTCGTATTCCCCAACTTGCAGGCACGTGCACACATACAGTA